AAACATGCATAAAACAGGGGAAAATGGTGGGAAGAAACATGGTTTGTGCGAGTGAGAGAGAAAGTCTGGAATTGGGGAGGTGAGTCGCATTGTAACAAAAGGAGGATCAATTATTTTGTTTTGTTTTTTATTATTCCGAAAAATGATTGATTTCTCCTTTCTGTATCATCCATATTCCGGCTCAGTGTCACTGACGTTTCTATTGTATTTATTACTCTTTATATGACCCCCACCCAACCCTATTTATATGACCCCTTATTTGACACTATTATTCTTATTAGGTCTGCTTCTTTTTCTTCTTCGTCTTCTTGTCGTAATTATTATTATTATTATTATTATTATTATTGTTTTTGTTGTTATTTTTATTATTTTTATCATAGAGGGAGACAGAGATTGATTAATATACGTAAACAAAATTGCGAGATAGGTAAGTAAAGACAAATATAAAATGACATAGATAAACAGATCAATAAAATGTAAATCTCAGATGGAAATAAAGATTATATATATATATATATATATATATATATATATATATATATATATATATATATATATATATACATGGCCATATTGCGTTGCCCGTGCTTGAATCAAAAATCGTACAACTCATACAGCAATCGCTATCACTTGACTTAAAATATTTTTGCCGTTCCTTGCCTTTAAAGGAGTGCCCTTTGCCGTGCTGATGTTGCTAGACGCCTTAATCTTGCCTATCTCACAATGCCAATTTTTCTAAGCTCTATACTAAACAATAAAATCTGTTACGAAAAAAGAACTAAACAAAATGAACACAAAACCATCAGCTTTAAAAAAGGACTCGTAACTGGAAAAACCGAATGAAAAAAGAATGTTAACAACAAATACTTTTTCACACCCAACCCAGTTCTGCGGAGTCAGAATCAATGTCGAGTTTAAGCAAGCGAATGAGCAAACTGGAGTAAAGTGCCATGCAGATTTAAATTTTTCCCACTTGTGACGAATGCAGCTATCGAGATTTTTGCATGCTAGCATGCTTGTTAACATTCGTGTCAGTCAGATGTTGGCTCTCACGCTAGCCAATAGAATCTTCCTGCCTATTCGTGGCAGCCAGCTATAGGCTCTCACTCTGGCCAGTAGAAAATGGCCGCAAACTACATGAAAACTGCCGTAGAAGCCTGAAAAATTCGACTATTTCCACAATCGATGTGAGTTGGGGAATGCAAAGTCGGTTTTGGCTTTCCCGCTAACTTGGAGCATGCGCATGTAAATTTTGGTGCAAATCCGTCGAAAATTGCGGTCGTGCATTCGTTACACACACACACACACACACACACACACACACACACACACACACACACACATCCTGCCTTTTATATATATATATATATATATATATATATATATATATAGATAGATAGATAGATAGATAGATAGATAGATATGAACAGATCGAGATAAATAGCTATGAACAGACTTTGATAGATATATGGATACATAAAAATCATGTATAAAAACATAAACAAAATGCGAAAGAGTCAAAAAGAGATAAACATATGAATACTGATAGATAGATAGATAGATAGATAGATAGATAGATAGATAGATAGATAGATAGATAGATAATTCCGGCGTCATTACGCCGACTCAGCAATGTTTAATTCTGCCTTATAAAATCGAAATTTTTCTGAGAAACTTGAAACATTCATATCCGCTCAGGTTCTTATCCTAACGTAAACAAAGCAATTTCTAAAGAACTAATGGATTTTCTAAAATTTAATTCTCCAATAGAGTTGTTCACCTATCAATGTGCGAGCAGGTTCGTATTCGGCTAGGGTGCTGATCGATGTATGCGCACAAACAGTGATATATATATATATATATAGCTAGATATATAGATATGGACGTACTCAAACAGACATGAAAAAAAATGAGCATCCAATCCTTAGCTACGATTAATTAATGATGAACATGTCATTTTCGTTTCTGATTGATTTCATCATGATTCTTCTGTTAAGCTTAGAGAGTAATTATACATTCTTATTGCTCAGAGTCGAATATTGTTATAAAAACCTCGGAGAATTCCAGTAATATATCTTTAATCATTTCTAAGATACAATGATTCAAAGCTTAATCTAACAATTGGACAATTTTGCTGTTACACGATTTGGACAAATTTGCTTTTATATCCGGTATATATGTAAATATATATATGTATACGTGTGTGATGCGTGTGTGTGTGTGTGCGCGCACACGCGCGTGTGTGGCACGGAACTAAGTTGTTAAAAGGAACGCAATAGTTCATTTTTGATGAAGGTGTTTACTTGATGTCATCGATAGAGAGGTTTCCCAGCGTACGGTATCTATGGAAAGAGGCTGAAAACCTTATCACGCCGCTGAGTAAAATTTGTCAGACGGAACTTTTCAGAAGTGCTAGCACTAAGTTATAGATCATCGTGACCGAGCGTTTTAGCATTCCGATGATCATGAGAGATAATGCGTTTACTCCAAGAAACTGACTGTAATGTCCGCTGAGCATAGTTAACGTACAAACGTGCCTGAGCAAGCGTCTTCGGTAGGGATTGGCTAGACGCCCTCGCTGTCCGATATGCTCGGAAAACGAGCTTACCGCCATAGATAGACACACTTCTCTCTTGGGATCACTGGGACAAGAAAGGCCTCGACTATGACAAGGAACGACCATATATATTTTACACTGGATGTCAGAGTGAACAGTTCGTTATTAAATGTATCATTTTGACTTAATATTACTTTAATGACAATAATAAAAAAGAATCTAAAAATAAGAACAGAATAGAACTAATAAAAGTATAAAATTATCATTAAATATATAAGAACTTTTTTTTATTATTGTTGTTGCTAATATTTGTGAGATAAATAATTAATAATTATTGTGGCCTGTTTAGGAGCCAGAAAGAAAAACATGGAAGACGAAGGTAGGTTGGAAAAATATATTGAAGATTTATACAAAACAATAGTGTTAGTAATAAGTAGATTAGCACTGTGTCTACTACTTCCACTCCACTTCACCCTCTTCCACCCGACTCTTGCAGTTTGTATTTATGAAAGAAGGAAGAGTTCATTATACTATAAGAGGGTTTTGCCACAACAATAATAAAGAAATTCACTACTGAAGAAAAAAATAAATAACGTTACGTCTCGAAACAGTTTTCCTGTAAATTTTAAAATACGTTTTCCTTCAAGTGCCAAATCAGACCAAACAAATCGACCGTTTAATGAGGCCACTCATGTGAGTTTGATTTTGGTGGACAATTCTGCGCGACGAATAAACCAAGCCACTTGTCCAGAAGCGTCTTCCCCGCGGCTCAAAGGCGGGTGAGACAGCCGACATCTGGCAAATCTGGTTGCATCGGGACTGTCTGGTGTTTGGTATGTCAACGTTTGGTCGCTCTATGTCAACGGTTTATCGGTGGGATCGTGTAGATCTTTGCCTAGTCCGCCGTTGAGGTTTTCGGCGTTAGGTCGCATTCAGTCTATTCCTTCCTCTTCAAGCTTATCCCCATGGGTGGCCCTACAGGAGTTGGAACTCTAGACAACTTTGCTCTTCTTGTTATTATTCGACAATAATAAGATACGAATCCATAAATAAGAACAGACTAGAACTAATAAAAGAATTAAATTATCGTTAAATATATGAGAAAATTCTTTTTTATTATTTGCTGTTGCTAAAATAAATATTTGACAGATAAATAATAAAGAAAAAAATCACTAGTGAACAGTAAAAAATAAAGTTACGACTCGAAGCCATTTTCCTACAAATTTGAAAATACGTCACGTTAGTACAATCAATAAATAATTAAAGGGTAACAGAATACAATTATTGGCAAATATTATTAAAATATTTGAATTATAAATAATAATGAAAGGAATCGATTATTCTGAACCAATAGTCAATGATAAACAAAACAAAGTTTACAACATGAAATGCATCTCCCACAGTTTCTAAAATTACGTCTACTTTTATAAAAATGATATGTTACACTTAAATATAAATATATAGAATTAGTCATACCAGGGTATACGTAATTTAATAAGCACAATACATTAAATGATGCCAACATAATGTGTATAAAACAGACAATGAACTGAACAGCAGTAAATAGAAATTTATACTCATGTGAATTATTTTATATTATTATTTAGATTATAGCATCTGTGTTATGCATAATAATATCTTTGAGAATTTTGAATCTTTCCTTGCAGGAAGTGTTATATAGTATTTGTTGTTGTTTCCTCACTCTAAAGAGTCTAGGTTGGACTCTTCCGCCTACTATAAGATTAGTAGGAGAGAAGGCCTTGGAAGAACAGTCGAATAGATAGAATACCGACACACACTCACTAGTCGTGTAACACTCTTCTGTTGTACTTACTGTTTATATGTGATATATCTGCAACACTTGTTTTGTTATTTCTTTTTATTTATGACGCAACTATATATATATATATATATATATATATATATATATATATATATATATATGCAAATTATTTTCAGATATAGTGTATCTATAAAGGAAAGAAATGAAGAAAAAGACAAGCGGAAAATATCTCTCAGAAGACAAAATGCGTTAGCTAAGTATAGTTATTCTTCTTGTTCATTTATATATATATATATATATATATATATATATATATATATATATCCGATGCGATAGCAACGAAAGTAATATATAAATTCCAACGTTCACAGTATTAGTCCAAAAGAGGGCACGATACCGATAGTAGAGCGATAATTATTATTTATTATAATTTTATCATATAGACAAAAACATTTTACTCACTACAAAGATGCAACTAGTTGAAATGCACTGAAACTAAGTTGCATCTTAATAGTAAGTAAAATGTCTTTGTCTATATAATAAAATTATATATATATAGAGAGAGAGAGAGAGGGGGGAGAGAGACAAAGAGAGAGAGGGAGACAGAGAGCCAGGGAGAGTGATTGACCATGTAAAAAAAAAACGTCCCGCTAAGTGTGGGCATGTTCATGTCTGAAGTAGGACTTTCAATCAACTATCTCGAGCGGGTCTCATTAATTAGCAAATGATTAACTTCAAATATACATTTTAAAAAATGTCTCTGCTAATTGCAAACTCGTGTATAGATTCATGTTTCACTTGTTAGACATTGAATGAAACGACCAACTTTAAACCCTGGCGTTAAGAACCCTGAACTGATATTTCCGGTCGAGACTTTTTCAAAGAAGTAAAAAAAAAAAAAATCATATTCATATGTCTTCAATAAATATATGAGTGTTTTATGTCAGGAAAAAGTACCATTAAATTACGGCAGAATAATCATGCTAACAAAGACACACTATATATATATATATATATATATATATATATATATATATATATATATATATATATATATATATCTATTTCTATATTTCCATTTATTCTCATACTTCCGTTTTTTTTTTTTAAATATAACTTGGTATGGTTTTTGTTTCCTTAAGATATTAATTTATTTTTAAAGTTAGAAATGGATAATTTATTTTCTCTTTATTTTTTTATTCTTTTACATAAAAAAAAAACAACTTTTTAAGTATATTCTTAAAAATTATCTAAATATGATTGACTCTTAAGCATGTTAATATATCTCATTTGTAAGTAGAATTTGGTATTTTAAGTGGGAAACCAAATTTATTATACATAATTATATATATATATATATATATATATATATATATATATATATAAAAATCAGCCCTCCTTTAGTTTCAGTTCAACACCTCTTCATAGAACCCGAACTTAGGGTTACAAGGTTAATCTCCGGGTTGAATTTGTTGTGCCTTTTCCCTTTAAGAAAGGTACTTTCCGCCCTCCCCTTACTACCGCCTCGTTAATTTCGTATGACTGAGGCGTCGATACGGGTAGGTTCTATATCAATTATTCGACTGCTGTCAAAATTAAATTTTACATCTCTAATTCCGACACGGACACAGTCTATACACTGGGGTTGAATAGGACCGACATACTTTGCGTTGGCTGAAATAGATCTATATCCCACCATATGAGGTAATTTTGTATTTTGTTGTGTAATTTATATGCTCTGTTATAATAAATACATTGAGCTCTTTTACTGGATCATTTTTAATATTTGATATTATTAGGATCCACTTGGATTATATCCCAACAGATTTATTACCTTTTATATATATATATATATATATATATATATATATATATATATATACCAACGGATTTATTATATCTATATATATATATATATATATATATATATATATATATATATATATATTGGCAATAAAATTAAGACTATTTCTCATATATTAGCCTTTTGACTAAATTGAAAGTAGAAGAGAAAGATTTTAAAGTTGAAATTTTCGGACACGACTGTGCCCTTTTTCTACTAGACGAGAAATAAGCAAAGACGTGCACACTTCGACCAACCGTTTCATAGCATCAATGACATCAGATGCGTGAATTTAGTGTCTTCGTTCAACAGCCGGCAAGAAAGACGAATATCAGAGTTGAAATATATTTTCAAATAAAATCACACACAGACATGCGTTAACTCCGAAAATATAATTTCCATGGGGAGACCTCTAACCAATAACAATAACATTCCTCGGAAGAACTTCTTTGTTTATTTCTAAGGTTAGATTGATATTCGCTTCCTATTTCTTATCTATCTATCTATCTATCTATCTATCTATCTATCTATCTATCAATCATGGGACCTTACCCATAATAACATAATGGACTATTCCATACGTAATAAATACTGCGCCTCAAAAGAAAGCGGCGAGTTCAGTCCGAAGTCGGGCGACCGGCTGATCGGCTGAACTTCGGGCTGGGAGGAACCCGAACGAGGCTACGCCGAAGGGCGGAGTCTCTTTCGGGGAGGTAAACCGACCCTGAACCCGTTTATATGGGTTCAAAGGGCATATTTTTGTCCGAGCACACGGGCTCGGAGATCCCATGTTAAACCGGCCTTGTGCCACATGATGCCCTCGTGGGTGGGGGTGCCTAAATACCGTTCCGTCTGAAGTCTAGAGTTCAGTCTGAAGTCTGGAGTGAAGGCCGTTAGAAGTCAGTCAGAGCGAGCGAGCTAGTCAGTCAGTCGAGTCAGAGGCAGTCCGAAACAGAGTCGCGTTCAGACAATTACTACTCAACCTGTTTGTTCGTACTAACATTTTCTACTTCTCTGTATATATTCCTGTTTGTAATATATCTGTGTTATTCCATATCCGTGTTCGAGTTCTTCTTTATTGGTTCTACCTTGGACTATCACCGTGGTACAAGGAACCGGACCATAACACTATCTCTGATTGAAGCTGAGATGTCAGGTCTGGTCCAGTAACATTGTAGATTATTCTTTGAATTTTATCAAAAATTGCTAAATATATAGCAGAGCACCAGACCTGATTGTAGGCAAATAAATATGTAAGACGGATTTTGAGGAGAAGAATTGTCTAGTACGACAGTGAACAAACATCCCTAGCTAAACACCTTGCAGCAGATTCAATATAATCTTACCGTGTCAACGAAAAAACTTAATCGGAGAAGGTGAAAGAAGTCGGTATCCTGGTGGTTAGCAACGGCCATGTTGATGGAAGGTAAAATAGTGTTCTCTGAGACGATTAAATGAGAGAAGTTTCGTTCAGAATTGTTTTGAAGAACATTCTGCGAATTTCCGACGAATGGTGTGGCCATCATTTTCGACCCAACGGAACATTCACGAGATAACCAGAAACAATGACTTGGAATTAGAATAGAATAGTAATGGACCCTAAACTGAGTCCATCATAAAAATACAGAATGCGGAATAAATTCCAAACCCTTTAAAAAACTTTGGTGGATGTCATAAAAAAATTTAAATTAGACATCCGAAAATTGAACAATAGAATTTACGCTAAGGAAATCATTGTCCAAGAGAGGAAGAAGCAACAAAATCAAATTTATTAGACGAAAGCTTTTCAAACAAACTCGTTAGATTTAGACTCTAATATGGATGCCATTTATGGTATACAACATATACAAATGGCCTCTTTTTCCAAAACACATTTCAATTCTCTGACTTCCTGATACCGTAACACATCAGAGAGTTTCTTCTGTGATTTAACAGCATTCATGTTTCATTCTTTCTTTAATACCACAGTATTTCTTGGGCGCGTCTAATAAACAACTAATTGAAAAAACATAGACATTTATAACATGATTAATTACTTAATCCCCATTGTGCGTCACTTTCGCCTACACCACACACACACATATATATATATATATATATATATATATATATATATATACATTTAACAATAAAAAATATTAAAAAATCTTCAGACAGACTGGGTTGTAGATTAATATTCTTTCGTTTTTATTATTATTTCATTTAGATTCCTCGACTAGTTTCGGCCAAAATGGCCATCATCAGGAGAAGAAATATTTCTGCTTGCTGGTAGTAGTGAACTATATATATATATATATATATATATATATATATATATATATATATATATGTGTGTGTGTGTGTGTGTGTGTGTGCATGTGTATGTATGTATATGTATGTGAAAAGTGTGTGTATATGGATATAGATGGATATGTGTATGTGTGGATATGTGTATATATTTATATATGTGTGTACATGGGTATATGTATGCGTGTATGTGGGTACACGCCTATGTGTATGTATATACGTGTATATGTTATTGTGTTTGTGTGTATTCGCATCTGTGTTTGAACATAGAAATATAGGTCCTTGCTAGATTAGATAATCGTTATATTTATTTTTTATATGTTTATATTTGATTTTTAACCTGTAGTCGATATTAAATTTGTCAAATTTTCTTAATTACACAGCAGCAATTTCAGTAAATGTCGTTCAAGTTTACTTTCCTTCGTCCCATCTCTCTCCCCCACCTCGTCTTTCCCTCCCTCTTATTCTGATCTTCAACATTAGATCGTCTATGGTGTGTGTATGTCACCACGAAATGTATCTTTATGCATTAGACATCCGACAACATTCATATTTCTCTTACTGAAACCCCTTCCACTCACCTCTCCTAAAAATTCTCTCTGCTAAGGTTTAATCTCCCCTCTTCTCTAGTATGTTACCCCTCATACTTACACTCTCTCTAAATTCTGTTTTTATTTCCGGAGTTGTTTTTCTGTTTTCTTTTTGAATTTGTAGGTCTGATGAATTGGATCGTATTTACGATTCCAATGGAATAAATTATGACCATGGAATATTAGTGTTTAAGCCTTTTTATTATCTATATAATAAGCGTGAAACCCAGGGTCACAAACTCACATCTATCCAACCAAATATGTTAGCTCTATCTCTGATATTGAGCGTTTTCTAATAAGTACCGCGCATATAATATATAAATAATTATACATATATATATATTTATTTATATTTATATACACTTTTCACACACACACACACACACACACACACACACACACACACACACACACACACACACATATATATATATTTATATATATATATATGTAGGGAGCACATTTTCATTCTAGCATGTTTGATTAAATAATTTAGAGATATAATGGTTATTTTATTTAGTTTAAATCCGTTCACGTTCACGAATTACTTTCATGGTAGCTGTAGAAAATAGGTTAAGAAAAATTCCAAAACTTTCTTTCAAATAATTCTTTTTTTCCCAAATACGTTCAATTTCATCTGAGGCCATCTTCAGTGGTTGCATATCTATGTATTTCTTATATGTTAATACCGTAAATTCAAACTATTTTTTATCTATATACAAGGGATGCAACTCACGTGGCTTTTTTAAAAATTTAAAAAAAAATAAAGATTTTTAATTGTAGTTTTTTAATCTAGTATTCTTTTGTATAACAGTTTGCTGCTATAAACATTTAAGAACTTCCTAGTTGACTTTATTTATTTTTGTACTTTGGTTTTACAACGACGACGATGACGAGAAGGCTTACGTTTCACTTGAACGATCATAGTTCAATCTCAGAACATTTAAAGAAATACTCATGTTTACATTCAAAGTTTAGACAGATATTAGTCGAAAATACATCAGTGATTAATCAAGAAAATAATAAACAAAAACTTAAAATTCTGTAAGTCTTTTAGATGAGTGAATTTCGTTCAAAAACAAAGTCAACTATGAGGACAGCAACAAAGTTCTTAAAAACTACTAAATTAAATGCTACAATTTAAAATATTTTAAAATTGTATTCAAAAATATTTTGAAGAATCACATAAGCAGTTATCTTCCTTACATAATGATAAAAAATATTTCGGATTTTCGGTGTTAATGCATAACGCATCCATAGATATGGAAATCCTGAAGATGGTCTCAGATGAGATTGAAAGTACTTGGGAAAATTTTAAAAAATATGCGAAAAAATATCTGGTGTTTTTCGTGACCAATTTTGACTGCAGAATTTGTCCGTTGCATCCGAAGTCAGTTAATGGGATGGGATGGGGTGGTTCCGTAGATGAGAGGTTTGTCTGTATATCTAACATAATGTTTCGGCGAACATTGACATTATTCATATATATATTTTTTCGACTTAGGCATGTCTGATGAAATAAATTACGAAAATTATGTCCGCTTATGTTTAGCATAATCCTTTCATATCCACGGATATTTTTGCGTGTATTACACTCAAATGAGCCAAGAAATGAACTGTAAAAGTGAAAATAACTTTTATTTCCCAATATTCCATCTCTTCCTGAGATCATCATATATATATATATATATATATATATATATATATATATATATATATATATATATATTAAAATGTCAGATCCAAGAAGAGTGCTTAATATATAAAGTACACAAAGCAAAAAAAATTCATAGTAAAAACACTTAAAATCAATTAAAGATGGTAATAAATTTATTTCGACAAATAATTTTACCTGCCTCTTCGACCGACCGACACATTTTGTTAAAATTTTAATACATACATACATATATATATATATATATATATATATATATATATATGATATTTTTGTGTTTATACATTATTTCTAATAGATACATTTTATTTTGAGAATTTGCTGCGTAAATGCACATATTTTCATGTATATATTTACACACAGACGCACACACGATAAGTTTGCCTTTTGTAGTTATTCATATATTTTTTTTATATATATATATATATATATATATATATATATATATATATATATATATATATACCACCCAGTCACCATTTGTTGAATCATGTTGCTTTAAACAAAACATCATGAAAACAATTCAATACCATTATAGTTGTGTACTGTCTGCCATAAAATATGGGGTCGTAGTCTTAGCAAGCTGAAAACACTTTCTTTCTCTTTCTTCTTTTTACTATAGTCACTCAGTATGTTTTTTATTTAAAGGGACAAAAACTTATAGGATATCATGAAGCGACACCACTTGCAATTTTATGTCATTCAGTTGTTTTTTTTAGTGTCATTTCTCAGTTATTAAAACATCGTTGAATCGGAGTTTCTTAAAAGAAAGAAGCGAAATTCCAGAAGATTTCTTTCTTTCGAAATTTGAATCAGACGAAAGAAAGTAAGATAAAATGGTCCTCAATAATTCTGTTTTTCATTTTGCTTTCAAAATGCAAGCCTAAGTTATATTTTAATCATTTCTTCGCTTGCATTTCTCACCAGTGGAAACACTTCCATCTTCTTGTTTACCTGTCAGCTTGGAGCTTTAAAACTTTAAATGCAAACGTCAATCGTCATCTTTCGTCTCCATGAATTCTGCTATTTT